ATCCAGCCTACGCAAGGTTGTCAATTTAAATCAATTAAACAATTAAACTAATTAAGAAAGCAAATAATCACGAGAAAATATCAATATAAAAACGGATCTAGGATTTTATCTTCCCCCTATGCGATAATTCTTCACCCAATTAAACCTCTATCATGCAAGTTACAATTCCAGATTATTAACCCAAGACACGAAATTACTCATAACCCGCTGTCGCGTGTATTATAAGTCTATTATTCATAAACGATTCACTATATGTCTATGCAAACCTAGTATGAATAAAGCATTAAATAACAAGTCTCGAAAACGGCTACCTAAGGTATTATCTGTATGTCTACGATAACACATGCAATTAACACACTCATCCGGTGAAAACTACTCGAAGGCTCTCCTATCCTTGTTCTAATTATTAAAACGATTTGTCAATCAATTATAACAATAACATATAGCAACATAAATTAGCTACTTTCCTGCGCTAAATAAGATCAAATAGGAGAAATAATCAATGAATTTAAACTTGCATAATATTAGAAAAACAGGTTCGAATCACCACATAGGGTTCCAACAAAATCCTAGATTAAAAACTTAGCTACTCATGTTCTCTACGAAAAGCATAATAAAAATACGAAAAATCATAAAAGTTATGAACAAAAGTAAAGGGAAAACTATGATGAAGAATCGTCAAGTCTTCGTCTTCGTTGCTCCGTTCTCTTGCTCCTCGATTGCGTGTAAAAAGATAGCCCACTTAATTGTGTGTTGTTTGGCCCTTTATAGGGTGTAAAAATATAAGAGAGTGGTTTCCTTGTGTAATTAAACTTCCTTCACTGCGCGTCTTCGGGAACTCGGACGGCCGTGCCAAAATTAACGCTGAAACTCGGACGGCCGTCCTAGATTCAATTCTTCGAAGTTTTGATTTTTTTTCACTTTTGGCCCACTTTTTCCCTGAAATTGCAGTTTTCACCCCATAAGTTTCCAATTCTTCAATTTGTACCTAAGATACAAATAATAACCATTTTAAGCACCAATTATCGTTAAAACACACCCAAAAGTCCCAATTAGAAGGTATGATTAAGTGTAAAAATATACACTTAACATTGTCTTTGCTATCCATGGCAACGGCCATACTCCTCTCATAAATTAGAACCACGATCTCGTCCTTGTGTGTTCGTCGGTTATTCAATTCCTTATCACGCATATCTCTGTCTTGATCCATCTACGAACAAAATATTTATCTCCCGACATGTGATTTTCGTGGAAAATATTTTGCCATTTAATAAACCTAATTCGCCCACTATGCCATCTCTCAGTAATGCATGGTCACTTAAACCAAATATCACGCATGCTCGTACTTCTACTTCAACTTATCACTCATCACCATCTCTCACAGCCACCCCACATATATTTCAAATTCCTGTCTCTTCCACGGCCTCGACGGAAAACCAGTCCTCTCAAAATCATCGCACTGATTTGCAACGAGGACCAACTTCGGAAGCTTTAAACCACGACCACTCATCTGCACACACCTCCTCCATGTCTCAACCCAATGATGCATCCAATCCTTCACAGGTAAGTACTTCGTCTCCTATATCTTCTAATTCTTCTCCCACTATTAACGAACCCCATCACTATAACACTACACTGCGTAATAACATTATAAAGCCAAAACAAATCCTTAGTCTCCACTCTACCATCGTCACTCATAATACCGAACCTACAACCTATAAACAAGCTCTAAAACATCAAGAATGGCGCCTAGCCATGAATGATGAATATAATGCCTTAATTTCCAATAATACATGGACTTTGATTCCCCGTTCTCCAACACAAAACATTATTGGGTGTAAGTGGGTCTACAAAATTAAGAGGCATCCTGATGGGTCGATAGCTCGTTATAAAGCTCGTTTTAGTAGCAAAAGGGTTTCATCAACGCCCTGGAATTGATTTCGATGAAACTTATAGTCCTGTTGTTAAACCAGCAATAATTCGGATACTCCTTTCAATTGTTGTGACTAACAATTGGCAACTTCGTCAACTTGATGTGAATAACGCGTTCTTGCAGGGATCTCTAACTGAGGAAGTATTCATGGAACAACCTCCTGGATTTATCAAACATGATCTTCCTAATCATGTTTGTAAATTACGAAAAGCCATGTATGGACTTCGACAAGTTCCTCGTGCTTGGTATCATGAACTCCGTCAGTTCCTTATCTCTAAAGGGTTTACAAATTCTCTCTCTGACACATCCTTATTTATGCTTCACTCTTCTACCTCAGTTCTTTATTTGTTGGTATATGTTGATGATATTATAATTATTGGATCGTCAAGTTCTCATATGAATACTTTCGTCTCCACACTTGCGCAACATTTTTCTCTCAAGGATCTAGGCAGGCTTTCTTATTTCTTGGAATTGAAGCTCACCATATAGGAACATGTCTCTTTCTATCTCAAAAGAAATATATACGAGATCTTCTGAATCGTTTTCATATGGCTGATGCTAAGTTGGTTCACCGCCAGCTGATGCCACATTATATCGCCAAGCTCTTGGATCGTTGCAATATCTTTCTTTAACTCGCCCCGATGTCTCGTTTGCCATTAACAAGCTTTCTCAGTTTATGCATTGCCCTTCAACAATCCATTGGTGTGGACTCAAACGTTTGCTCCATTATTTAGCAGGGACTCTTGACTACGGCCTGGCTCTACGTAAGAATTCCCCTCAAACTCTTCATGCCTTTGCAGATGCAGATGGGGCTGGAGACCCTAATGATCGAACATCGACCTCCGCCTATGTAGTATTTCTGGGTGCTAACGCAATCTCTTGGAGTTCAAAGAAACAAAAGACAGTTGCTCGATCTTCTACCGAGGTTGAATACCGTGCAATCGCCTCCACCGCAGCTGAGGTCAATTGGGTCATGAATCTTTTTCAAGAGCTACGTGTGCCTCTATCTCCTACTCCGGTCATCTATTGTGACAATATAAGTGCTACATACGTATGTTCCAATCCAGTTTTCCACTCTTGAATGAAGCACATAGCTATTGATTTTCACTTTTTACGAAAACAAGTCGCCAATGGTCAACGTTCGTGTTTTTCATGTTCACACTTCTGATCAACTTGCTGACTCACTCACTAAGCCATTGCCTCGTCTTCATTTTCTTGCACATCGTTCCAAGATTGGCGTCCGAAATGGCCAGTCAATCTTGCGGGGGCATGATAGATCAATGGAATTAAGAGATGCTATTATCAATGCATAATTGATACATACAATTATGCAGCAAATTCTTTGGCAGCAAATATTACTCCATTCATTATGTAATATATATATATATATATATATATATATATATATATATATATATATATATATATATATATATATATATATATATATATATATATATATATATATATATATATAATATGTGTGTAATAATTATTTAGGATCTATTTTCCTTTTATAAATAAAAACCTACGTGTATATATTACTTGTAAAATAATAGAATAAAACATACTGGTAAAAATACCATTTCTTTAAACCGCACAAATAAGCATACCATATTTATTTAATTCAAAATTAAATAACAATGTTGAAAACATACATATGAACATGTTTCATAAATTCGCACATTAAACAATCACAATTAAAGAAATACGAATTGCATGTATCATAATAAATTGTAAATCATATAATCATAATTATATATAGGGGAAAATTAGCAAGACCCCCTCTTTGGAAAAATCATGTAAGGTAAACTCCCCCCCCTCTTTTTTTTATAATTTGAGAAAATCCCTTTACCTTAGATATAACATTTCTCACATTTAAATTGCCCATCGTATTATTATTTTCTCTCTCTCTCTCTCCCGTATCCTCATTTTTCCTGTTTTCTCTCTTCTCCGGATTTTTTTTCCTCTTTGTTTGGCTGATGTGATGACAATTATGCGTGAGAGCTTTTGGGGTGGCCTCCAATGGAGAAGCGGTTCCCAGTAGATTGAACTACGATGAGGCTTATCCCAAGGAGTGAAATAATTTTTCTCAGTGCATTTCTTCATTTTGCTGTTGAATGATGTTTATGTGACGGCAGCGACGGCGGAGGAACAGACATATGGCAGCGAGAGCACTCGAACTTGACGGCGACAGATCTATGGTGTTTGGCTAGATTATATCGAGGACGTCGCGGGTGGAGGTGGCGATGATGATGGTGTGGTGTGGCGATGGTGTGGTGACGATGGTGAGCAAATTTAGGATTTTTTGGGTAGATTGCGCAGAGGACGGTGGGGGCGGAGGAAGTTCGTGGTTAATCGACTGGAGTTTTTCAATTCATTTTCGGATTTTTGTTATTGGTTCCTTTTTTTGCCACACGTAGTTGGACATGGGGCATAGTATTGGTCCATCTTTTTTCTGCAATTGTCAATCAACCATCTGAGTTGTATAAATCAATCACATTTTTTGCATATTTGTTCTTTTGTAAAAAAATAGTTGATTTTTATTTCATTTTTTTGTAGTTGTGTTGTTATTTTTACGATGGGTTGTTTGAATTTTTTTTTGTTCAATCGTGTTGGGTTGCATAGACAACATTACAGTTGTTTTTGTTACATTTAGTAGTCAATTTCATTATTTAACAACGATTTAAGGGAGTCAGTTCCTTAATCATCTATGATGTATTCATTAATATCGTAGTCGGTTAATGTACCTGACAACGGAAAAAAATGGTTTAAGAACAAAAACAAAATTATAAAAATTATAAAAATCGAAAATTGGAATTTCCAGTAATTTTCCATTTCAATTTCATTCCAAATAAATTCAAAAAAATTGAATATCAAAACTTCAAAAATCGGAATGAAAAAATACGGTTTCAAGTTGGGATATTTTTAAATTGGAATTGGCGGAATTCAATAGGTTTTCACCATAAATTTTAACGTTCATAAAATTAAAATAGGCCCGTGATAGATAGAGTAAATATAGAGGTTAATTAAATAATATAAATGCACAGAATAAAGCATATATAATAAATTAATAATAGGTCCAAGGACAGAGAGCAAAGGCTCTGTAAATAACAAGCCAATGAAACCAAAGGAGGACCCCACCCCCACAAAAAGTCAACGGTCAATTCCCTTTTGTTCCTCTTTTTTCTCCATTCAACGACTGTTTCCCCAACCCCACAAAAACCCACCCACTATTTCCAACACACCCAACAAATTCGTTCCTTTTTTCTCTATCCATGGCTTCCGGGCCGGATAGCTCCGATTTCTTCGACCTCCTACCCGACCCGATTCTCCTCCTTATCCTGAACCGGGTCTCCGATATCAAGACCCTCCTCCGCTGCAGATCCGTCTCCAGACGCTTCAACTCCGCCGTACCTCAGGCCGACTCCCTCCTCCTCCGCGTCGACCGTGTCATCTCCTCCTCCGACGATGACGACGGCGTTTCTTTTTTCTCCGCCCTCTTCAAATCCCTCCTCACCTCCCTCCACCACCTCGTTTCCCCTCCCCCCACCGGTAAACAGCCACCCGAGAACCCCACCTCCGCCGCGCCGCCGCCGCCCAATTCCCCCTCCCAGATCCTCCGCAGCTTCGACGCCATCGCCAGTCTCCGGATCGAGCTCCCCTCCGGCGACCTCCGCCTCGAGAAGGGCACCTCCATCAAATGGGTCGCCCGATTCGGGAAAACCCTCCGCAGCTGCGTCATCCTCGCGTTCAAGAACGGCGGCGATTCAACCGCCGCCGATAGCGGCGGCGGCCTGAAAATGCGCGTGGTGTGGACGATCAGCGCGCTGATTGCGGCCTCCGCCAGGCATTTCATGATCTCCGAGGTGGTCAGGGAGCAGCACTCTCTCTCCCGTCTAGTCGTCTACGATAGGGACAACGAGGGAACCGTGATTATGGACAAAGACGGGCTGACGGAGTCCAGAGATAGCGGCGGCGATGTGGCGGCGGAGGAAACCAACGCGGGCGGAATGTGGTGGCGGAACAATCGGACGACGGTGCCCGCTGTGGGGATGAGGATGAGGCACGAGGCGAGAATGGAGTTATCCGGAGGGATGGTGCTCGAGGGAGCAACGCTCGTGGTGGTGCGGCCGGTGGGCGGTGGCGGAGAAGACGACGACGAGTGGTTAGTGGAGGAGGCGTTTGGGAAAGAGGGAGTGTGGGCAGAGGCAGTTCAGAGGCTGATCAAGAGCAGGAGCTACATTCTTGAAATGAACTCCTTTTGATCAAAATGAACATCAATTCATTATTTCAGGTATTGTACCAAAATAGAAAACAAATGTTGTAATATTTGCATGTGCAATTGATTGATGTTTTCATCGTCGGAGAAAAAGAAAAGGAAAAAACATGTTGTTTAACAATGAAAAAATGAATGATTGTATCATGTAATAGAGTTTACAACCTTGAGCATTCATTCATACATTTAACCATTATTATGATGATGTTAGATTCTTGCCATCAATTTCTTTCTTTCTTTTTTTTTTAAATCCAATTGAGGCTACCGGTCGAGTTAGATGCTGCACCTGGTTATTTACATCGGGTGGATTTGATGAAGTATTTATCTACTAAGCACACATACATATGGGAGTGTGTGTGTGATTATGTAGAGATTTGCGATTCAAACTCACCCAGTGTAAATAACCAGGTGTAACATGTAATTTCCAGTCAGACATTGTAATAAGTAGAGTAGAATTTGTTTTGTGGCTATTTTTGGGTGTAGTAAGCTTAGAATGAGTTATGGTTTCTTGATAAAATATGCTAATTTGACAAAAACAAATTGTGAATGGTCCCTTTGACCCAGACTAAATTTGGAGTATGTACTGTTAGATTTTTAGTTTTAGTACAGAAACTGGTGGTGTGTCTTAATTGTTTTAAAACCAATAATTCTTTTCATGTACTGAAAAAAATGGATCTAAATTAGGGATCTTTGTCATTGCGATTTATGGTATCGAAATTTTGTGAACAATGTCGAATAGAAACCTAGCTTCTTTTTTTCTTTGAAGGAACCTGCAGCCACTGTAAGTAAGGTAAGTTACCGAGTAAATCTACTGTCTCGTATAATTGCTTGCAAACTGTATGAGAGAAAACCACACTTGATTAACCATATGTAAACCGTTGGTAAAGAGATTCGAATTTGGGGTAACCGACACAAGTTCACTTGCTGCAACTATTAGGTCATCATCTCTTACAGGACAAAGGGATATAAAATTGCGAAAATGCCATTATTTGTTGGAAAATATGTGGGGGCAGGTGAGTGTGAAAGAAAAGGAGGGTTCTTCCTCTTTTTCCCTCATCTATCAATTCTCTTGTCCACATTTGCTCTGCAATTCAACAAAATGGAAAACTGCACTTTTGATATTTTTTAGTTTTCTGAAAAGAAAATCAAAAGGGACAACTACTCATTGGATGACTTCGGTGGTAAATACGATTGTGCCCCTGTGTATGCATCATGATGAATATTATTACGCACTTGGATTAGAGCATTTCAAAACCACATACTTCGTTGTCCTCGACAAAAAAATCATCCCTTTTGTTTATATCATGTTCTTATCAAATCGGAAAAGTATTGCGCGTCGCTTTCCTTCAGATATCGAATCGTGTCGTTTCGTTTGTTGTAGTATTGTATCACAAGATATTTAACTAACTATTAAAAGTAGTGCAAAATACATTGTTAATGAAGAATTTCTCGACTAATGTACTTAAGAATTTCAAGATCAGAATCGAGTTCACTAGTGGTGGGCCAAGGCCAATTATTGATTCGATGACCTGAAATTTGATCGGACCCTTACCCGCAATTTCATGACCCGACCCGTGAAAAAGGTGATTCCTACTCGTGGGCCATGGTCAACCTATAACGAAGATTCTACAAATTCAAAAGCTTAGATACATACATGTTACATATATATATATATATATAAGATAGTATGGTGAAAACTATAACGGACGAAGTTCACCGACCGTAGCATAGAATAAACCTAAAAAAAACAGTCGTATTTCGAACCAAGTGACTACACATCATCTGCAAAGCTGCTAAATTTTCAATGAAAACGATGTAACTCAATTTGATAACCATGAACACGAATATTTAGATGGTAGCTTCAGGACAAGAATCGTACAATCGAACCAAACTACATCAATTATTTCTCATCCATAACATTGCAATCTTGGTAAGAGATTTTTGCTGCATTTCCTATGTTACAAATATAGGTTCATTCGATAAAATATACTTTAGACTTTTTTTCTAGTTTTTTTATTCGAACAATTAATAGGCCACCGTCCTAAATTATTAAACGAAATTAATCAGTTACAACTTACCATACTATTCCTTTAATCTTAATTCAACAAGACCCTACCGAAACAACTAACTCTTGTTGCATTTTCTGACTCGAATTTTTTTTTTTTTCTAACTCATCGAGTATACAAACACTCAACATCATGCATAACAATCTAAAGTCTTATTTAAAAATTATATATATATATATATATATATATATATATATATATATATAACAACATATATTCGTGTTTCTTTTCTTCCTCCGTGAATGTTTACTTGCACTAATTATATGTAATGCAAAATTCTGAAACTGCGTTATAACAATCGAATCCCAGTTGCCATTGTACTACCTGGCACATGTTAAATGTGAGGACATGGTCGAAACTTCCGATCATTTGCTTCCCCACTTCTCCTTCGATTCTTGATTCCCCTCCCCTAGAAAAAAAGGTCATACAATCAGCAGAGTCTCGATCCATAAAATTTATTGGGATGAAATTAATTACGGAATTAATTTTTTTTTCATGTCCTCGAGTTCTTGTTTTGTTACTCGGGCGATAGATGTCAAACTTATAGAGTCGAACAACCATCTTATAAAGCCGAGAAATACCGATCAATATAAAATGTACGTAAGCAACTTACTACGATTAAGTGTTTCATCACCGTTCTGCTCTTGACTGAACTCATCGGAATGTACACACATCACTAACTTCGTCCATATACGGGCTAATAAATTTGTGAAAGAACTTATCATCCGTTAAGGTGCAAACTTCCCCAAGACCCGGCCACTTCGTAATCAGTTTTCTACGCTCCATAATCTCTAAAATCCGAATCCTCGGCTCTAATCTCTTCTCGATGCTGCACGCAAACGACATCGGATTATTCACAATTGACGACTTACTGAACTTCCCAGTACCAAGTAGAACCTCTTTGACTTTCTTGATCTTGACCATCGACACAGAGAAAGCAGACGGCGCCTTCACAAACATCGCCAATATCTCGTTTTCCGAAAACCCCAAATCCCGAAAGCCCTGCAGCTTAAGTTCCCATGCCTCGTTGCTCAGTGAGGCAATTGATCGAACAGCGTATATGAATACTTTGGAGCGTCTATCGATCCCCATTTCTTCCACCTTTTCCACCGATCTCTTTAATATGTCCGGCTTCAACAGAAAAAACCTCGGATAGCAATGGAGGATGAGCAGTAGACGCTCCGTCGGTATATCGAAGCTCTTCAAGAAATCGAAATTCGGCACCATCGTCTGCTCCAAATTGGTCGTCACAAACCAAGAGGATAATCTCAAGAGTCGGGCTAAATCGTAATCGGATCCCAACAAACCCTTGAGCAAAGACAATGTGGGGATGATGTTATTGTTCACACTCAAATGCAGAATTGCCGGATTGCTCGAGATTATGATTGAAATGTCGTCGGAAGAAAAGCCCAAATCCTGAAAAACCCTAATTTTGGGTTTAATGCTAGCCTCGAGACTAGCGGAGAGGAATCGAGGCTTGTATTTAACGATCTTCTCCAACTGGGTATTCGTAAAACCAATGTCTTTGAAGAATGAGAGTATTGAATCAGCTTTTTCTGGGGTTTTGAGATGGGCTAAAGCGGAGGCAACCCGTGAAGCCAATTCGGGTGTGAAATGGTGTCTGTGGAGCAATAAATCGAACACCTTAGGGTTCGTTTTAAGGAGTTGTTGTCTTTCACTCGAAGAAGAAGAAGAAGAGGAGGAAAAATGGAGAGGTGTTGAGAAAGAAACATGGGATTTCACAATGTAAGAGGAGGCGAGGTTTTTGCGTACGAGGTTAATCATCTTCAAGAAAAATCACATCAGTCGACGATTCTTCTTTCTCCGAATCAAATGGCAGCCGGCGCCGCTGTTTCAGGGGGTCTTCAACTTCGGTCGGCTGGGGTTTCGTTTTTTTAGGTTTCACTGGCTTTCGATCCTCTGTGGCTAAAGAAAGTTTATAAGATGACTTAGAGCAGCTTATAAGCTCTTTTTTGTGATAACCGAATAAACGGATTATTAAATCCATGAATAAAACGGTGTCGTCCAACTTATATAAGTGTGGGCGCGCTTTTGTTATTTCAGCATTTTATTTATTTATTACGGGAGGGGGCAAAACGGTGTCGTTTTAGAGAGATCAGAGGCGTGGGCACACCTGATCTGCATGGGAAGCACCACACACAACCCTCAACTCTTGCTACACATGGTGGCAGTATAAGAAGACAAAAGGGGAGCTGACAGCTTTCTTATGAAATCACTGGTAATTCTTAGGTTATCTTAGAGTAGTTTACATTTCATTCTACCACACCAACCCTAGAATATCACAGCCCCCGCCATTGTTAACCGAGAAACACCATTCTTGCAGTTTTATCATCAACTGAGCTAGAAGACTGAAGAAAAGGAAGAGTTCGTAACATTTGGTATCTAGAGCCACCGTTTCTGGCTATCATCACCCTAAATAATGACTAGAAGTCACGTGAGAACAGGGTCGAGTGATAACACCATATCTGATGCAGAAGTCTATCTAGATGAACAATTGGCTTTCAACAAGAAGATTCAAGGAGAGATGAGTGAGATACAAGCCAATTTTCAAGCTGAAATGGCTAAAGAAAGAGTGGAAACTAACTAGAGGATTGAAGATCTGAGTAAGCTGGTGGGGGAGCTGGTGAAAGCAGTCAATGGGAACCATGGAAAAGCTCCTTGTACTCAAGGTAATTCCTCTGAAAACCCTCTACGGTTTTCTGAAAACATACACATTACACAACCCCAAATGCGTGTAGAGGTAGGAAATATTAACAGCCCGGATAGAGGGGAAGAAAATAGGACTGTCAAAGTAGCGTTTCCAAAGTTTGATGGGGAATTTCCTAGAACTTGGTTGAGAAGGTGCCATAGATACTTCGCTCTGAACCCTATGAGTGAACAGGAAAAAATGCAATTTGCATCCATGCACCTGGAGGGCAAGGTGAAAGATTGGTACACTGATTACATTGAACAGTTAGAAGGGCTAGGATGGGAGAATTTCACGAATATGGTACTGGATAGGTTCCTAGAAGAGGAGGGGTCAGCTTAACTGCCGAATTCAATGGACTACGCCAAGAAGCTACAATGGAAGAATGTAGATTGAATTTCGAACATCTGAAGGCATTTGTGAGTAAGAAGCATAGATCTTTCATTGAAAATTATCATCCGGAGTGTTTTGTTGAAGGGCTCAAAGATAACATCAAGAACGTCGTGAAAATGATGAGACCTATGACCCTATCCCAAGCCATACAACAAGCCAAGTTACAAGAGGGGAATGCTGATCATATCTCTGAAGAAATCAAGAGCACTGTGAAGTCTGCCACCACTCATTTGAAGAACTACAAACCAGTTTTACAAGTCCCTAGAGTCCAACAGACAAAGAGAGGAGGGGTGAATAATAAGAAGCTGACTAGACCAGAATTAGAGGAAAGAAGAAGGAAAGGGTTATGTTACAATTGTGACGAGAGGTACATTCCTGGGCATAGGTGCAAATAGTTGTTCCATATTGAATGTGTGCCATTATCAGATGATGAAGTTGTTGAAGAGGAAGTAGAAGAACTAGCAGAAGAAGTAACAGAAGAGTGTATGCAAATATCCTTCAATGCTATCATTGGCCAAGTCACTCAAACCACACTCAAAATACTGGGAAGGTACAAAGGGCAACCTATAACCATACTACTGGACACTGGAGCCTCACAGATCTTCTTGGACCCTCAAACTGCATTAAGGTTAAAATGTGAGAGGGTGTGCAACAAAAGAAATAAAGTGAAAGTGGCTGGGAAACTCCAATTGGAGTGTGACTCATTTTGCCCAGCCTTCCAGTGAGAGATGAGGCGATGCAAGTTTGAGATTAGTGTGACTCTTTTAGAACTGGGAGGATGTGATCTAGTACTAGGAGTGGACTTCATGGAAAAGTTTTCACCACTCTCTTTTGATCACAATGTTCAGTCGATTACATTCAATTATGAAGGGGAAGAAGTAATACTCAAAGGAGTAGATGGAGAGCTTGAGTTTCAGATGATTGATGGGGAGGAATTACAAGGCATGCTACACAGTAGAGAGATCAACATGGGATGCTTGGTAATGATGCAACACTCAGAAATAGAAGGGGAAGAGAAGAAAGTTCCCATTGAAATCAAAGAAGTGATTAGTGAATTTGCTGAAGTATTCCAAAATCCTACTGAGCTACCACCAGTTAGGAAGGAAGGCTGAACACTCAATTCCCCTCAAAGACAATGCTCAACCATTCAAATCCCAACCCTATAGGTACCCCTTCATGCAGAGAAAAGAAATGGAGACCATGGTGCAAGAGATGCTGAATGCTGGAATCATACAGTCCAGTAACAGCCCCTTTGCATCACCAGTGCTGCTAGTGAAGAAAAAGGATGGATCATGGAGGTTTTGTGTAGACTATAGGAAACTGAATTCCATGACCAGTAAGGATGGATACCCCATTCCTCTAATTGATGATTTATTAGATGAATTGGGAGGAGCTAAGATGTTCTCCAAAATTGACCTCAGAGCTGGTTACCATCAAATTAGAATGAATCAAAGAGATGTAGAAAAGACTGCATTTGTAACTTCTGCTGGGCATTATGAGTTCTTAGTGATGCCATTTGGGCTCACTAATGCCCCTGCAACATTCCAAGCATTGATGAATGATGTCTTCAGAGATCATCTGAGGGGGTTTGTGTTAGTATTTTTTGATGATATACTCATCTACAGTCCTGATATGGAAACTCACCAACAACATGTGAGGAAGGTATTGGAGCAGCTCAAGAAAAATCAACTATATGCCAAGATGAGTAAGTGCAGTTTTGATCAAAGAAAAGTGGAGTACTTGGGGCACATCATCACTAAAGAAGGAGCAGGGGTAGATCCTAGCAAAATAGACAGTGTGAAGAGCTGACCCATTCCCACCACAGTGAAGGCTCCTAGAGGGTTTCTAGGCTTGACAGGTTATTACAGAAAGTTTGTGAGGGGATATGGTGAGATAGCCAAACCACTGACACAACAATTAAAAAAGGGGTAATTCTAGTGGAATCTAGAAGCCCAATGAGCTTTTGAGAAGCTGAAAGAAGCCATGACTACTACTCTAGTGCTGCAACTGCCACACTTTAAGGATAAATTTGTGGTTGAGACTGATGCATCCTATTATGGAACTGGAGCAGTATTGATGCAAAAAGGGCACCCATTAGCTTATTTAAGCAAAGCACTTGGATCTAAGAACCTAGGATTATCCATAAATGAAAAGGAGTTCCTAGCAATACTTCTGGCAGTACACAAGTGGAGAGCCTACCTAATATGTGGAACTTTTGTGATAAGAATAGATCAGAAGAGCTTGAGATACTTATTAGAACAAAAAATTTCTACACCATTACAGCATAAATACCTAGCCAAGCTACTGGGCTTCAATTATACTATAGAGTATAAGAAGGGAACTGAGAATAGTGCAACTGATGCACTCTCCAGAAGAGAAATTGGGAAGACCTTGAATCAAGTGACAATAATCCAACCTATGTGGATTCAAGAGGTTATACAAAGTTATGATAATGATTAAGAGTCACAAGAAATAATTGCTAATTGCTCCCTGAGGCCACTTGGGGCCATGGTCAACCTATATAGAAGATTCTACAGATTCAAAAACTTATTTTTTTTTTAAATTCATACCTCAACAATTATTTTTATACTTAACCGAGGGGTGAAATCGGATGAAATGGATCGAAAATGTTTTTTTCGGAAATTTTTCAATTTTTTTCGGATTAAAAATAGGTTTCAATTTGCGTTAAAAAAACGGAATTTTAAAATCCATTCCAATTTCGGAATACCTCAGAATCGACGGAATTTCGGAAATTGCATTAATTCTCAATTTTTTGTTTCAAAATCGGAAATAATGGTAATTTTTAGCTAAAAATCGTTTGTAGTTTGCAGTTCTGAATCTTTGTTTGTAATTGCTTCGTCCATGTCCTGCTATAGCCAGGAATCGTTCGGAGTTTTGAATCTCTTTTTGTAATTGGTTCGTCCATGCCCTGCCATAGCTAGGAATCATTCACAGTTTGCAGTTTTGAATCTTTGTTTGAAATTGTTTTGTCCCTACTATGTTATAGCTGAGAATTAAATCTCTGTTTGCAGTTGCTTCGCCCCTACCTTGCCATATCTAAGAATCGAATGACAAGAATCATTCGCAGTTTGCAGCTTTGAAATATCATTTTGTAATTGCTTCGTCCTAGCCCCGCCTATTTAAGAATCTTTCGCAATTTGTTGTTTTGAAATCTTCTTTTGCAGTTTTGAAATATCCGTTTGCTTCGAGACTTAGAGTTTTTTTGTATAATTAAAATTAGGGTAAATTCCACTTAACTCCCTTGTACTTTGTCTGGATATCACTTTATCCCCTTGTACTCTCAATTGCATCGATTTGCCCCCTTGTACTTTGGTTCGATATCACTTTACCCCCTTCTACTCTCAATTCATCGATTTGCCCCTTGTACTTTGGCCCGATATCACTTTACCCCCTTCTACTCTCAATTGCATCGATTTGCCCCCCTATACTTGAAAAATTATCTCAATATGGCCCTCGCCGTTAGTTTTCAGATCTTTAACATTAACACCGTTTGATCTAAGTTTGAAAATTACAAAAAAACCACCCATCCTTGTTTAAATAATTATTAATAAAAAAATTTGTGGCTGGCATCGTGGACTATGTTTTCTCTGTCTTGAATTTTTTATTATTTTTTGTTTTTTTTTTTTTGTTGTTTTTTTTTTGTTTTTTTTTTTTTAATAATTATTTAAACTGGAGGGGTGACATTCTAGTAATTTTCAAACCTAAATCAAACGGTGTTAAGGTCAAATGTCTGAAAACTAACGACGAGGGCCACATTGAGACAATTTTTCAAGTAAGGGGGTAAAATGATATCGAGCCAAAGTACAAGGGGCAAATCGATGAGTTGAGAGTAGAAGAGGGTAAAGTGATATCGAACCAAAGTACAAGGGGGCAAATCGATGCAATTGAGAGTACAAGAGGATAAGGTGATATCCAGCCAAAGTAAAGGGGGTAAACTGAAATTTACCCTTAAAATTATTCACATTATGTAACATTGAAGGTTCAAAATCATATAAAAGCATCATTCCTTCTATGCTACACAACGTAAATTACATTATGTATTATATAACTCTCTATCTTCATATAATCACACACATATATATATATATATATATATATATATATATATATATATATACTTATACTTGTAACATTTGGATTAAAAAAAGCCAAACTTTCTTCATTTGAAATGAAACGACAATGTATCTAATTCTAAAGAGAACAAAAAAATCGGAGTAAGCTACATACTTAATAGAGTTAACTGCAAAAAATCCCCTAAACTTTGGACGTTTTTGCACTTTACCCCCTGAACGAAAAAAAGTTGCACGGGCATACCTCAACTTACTAATTTGTAGCACCGAAACCAAAATTGTCCATTTTTAGCCTAATTGTTCCCGGAATTACACACGTACAACTCCCACGTGTAAATGGAGGGGCAAATTCGCCAGATTTTGGAAAAAAAGAAAAGGAAAAAAGAAAATGAAAAAAGAAAAAAGAAAAAGAAAACCCATAGCCCCATTTCCCAGACATCACTATTAGCGTATCTACGTATCTATCTATATTATATATATTATTCCTATTATTATTCTTATTTATTAGGTTACCTTATATATTAGGTTTCCTTGTATATTAGGTTACCTTGTGTAGTAGGTTAGGGTTTCCTACATGTAACTATATATATGATTA